AGGAAATCTCCTGAAATTGAAAGTTATTGTGGTTTCCAAACCCAAATTTGGCATCTTACTTTAAGACTTTCCCAGATAAGGATCGATGTTTCACGTTACGAGGGACATCTTGTAGCATAATGTGCAATTCGGTGTCAATAACTTTAAGCACAATTAACCGATGGAGAAGGGCAAGAGCCAAAAGGTGGAATTTGAAACTACTCAAGCGTCTTTTATCTGCATACATGCTTCATATAGAATTTCAGTTTATGACAAAAATTATATCTATGTGCATATATGTAATAGAAAATGAATAAAGGGAGCGGAAATTTTAAAGTTTTCCCCTCCAAACTCTGTCTTCTTTCAACCACGTTCCCGCCCCAAATGGCATTCTCCAGAAGGTAAAGAGAAAATATCCTCCACACTTGGTGTACCTCTACACCCTGCGAGGGGAGACGAGGGTGAGCCATAAAGCATTTTCCACCCCTTAAGGTGAGAGATGGAAGAGACGAAAGAGAATGAACAACACCAGAATGGGATTTCATAACGGAGCCAGGGACTCTTGTGTGCCATTTTTATCACCTGTGCACAAAATTGAATTTGATTTTCTGACGGAGGTTCTCAATACACCTAATATGATTTGTTTGATATTTAAATAAGATATTTCCACCGTGCACAGTCAACTTACACGGGAGTGAATGAAGGAGGGACAGGCACAAGTCTTTCCGTGGCGAATGTGACAGGAACACCTCGGAATTGGCTTATCGGGGATGCGCGCTGAGGATGAGGCGTGAGCGACAGGAAGGAGTTCGGGGGGCGAGACAAAATATACCAACATTAGGAGAACATCCTACTATGAAGCCATTTGGCTATATTTTTGAACAGAAATCTCTCCCATATATTCAAACTTCAGACACACCCGAAAGGTGGTATATAGCCCAGAGTGTCCTGTTTCGTAATTTATTTTTACTACATTTCATGAGGATGAATTTTATGGTGTTGTCAGCTGGTGTCGTCATGATTGAATGTTTTATATATAATAAAAGCAACTGAAAAGCCCTTACATCTTCTGCAATTTCGGCCATTTTATCTGGTGAACAAATTTAATATTCGTGCAAAGGCGCACTTTCCATAGATGAAAAATCAAATACTAAACACAGTGAGTGAGTAAAACTTCAAGACACTTCGACCCCCATTCGCTCACAGTCTTTCCATCCTGAGAGATACTTTAATTCCAGAAAGTGAGGAATCCAAGATGCAGTCTACATCCAATTTGTTGAGCGGAGTGGAAAGAGACGGAATTCAACACCCAAATACGTGTCTCATTACAGAATAACCCTTTGAGATGATTGAACAAATCAAACTCGACTTTTCCATTACACTAGGATTTTCCCCAAACTTCCACACAATGTGAAAGATCATCTCTATACAGTGTTGTCTTTCATGGGGTTGTACATGGGTTGTGGCGGAACGGAGGGGGTGGGGTGGGCAAGAAGAGGGCATTAGTAGAAGATCAGGAAAACTTTCCGCAAACACATAGATATTCCTTGAAACAAAACTTAATTATCTGATTGATTGTTTGATGATGAAGAAACTTTGGAGACTCGAAGCCCGTCAGCAATTGGGTCTTCTTTAATCTCTCACGGATATTCACATCGCTGTTGTTGAAAGTTTCTCCTCGGGCAATAGAAAAAAAAGGGAGCACGATGAGAGAGAGGGACGGCGAGAGGAAGAAGCAATTTTCACCAATTGAACACTTTCAAGGGAAATTTCATGCTGAAGCCTTCGACATTGAATTGCGGATCTCGGGTCAGACAAGAGGAGGAAGCCCCTCTGCAGTCGCCCCCATGGTAAAGGGTTGGCATTGGCCTGCGGGGGATGGGAAAAGTTGAGGAATCTGGGATATGTTTGAATCGGATTCAATGCGAATGTGAATTTTATATAACGTACACAATAAATATATGGTCACGCGCAAATGGCATTAGTGCAATTGATTTCCAATTTAGTACAATTCCCACGTCACGGAAATATAGCAAAACTACGTGACAGTCGGCTTTCCTCCTTTTTTCATTCACTTTCCCCCCTCACACTCCCGTCAATTCTCCCCATTTAACCCCAATCATTCACACACACACCCACGTTTATCGAGGACGAAAATTCAATAGAATATTACATTACAGCTCTCCATGGCATTAGACCAGCATCCCATTCCATTCTCACTCAAATCTACAGACTGTATCCCCAGAATCAGCCACCAGCCCTCGTATTTGCCATCTCTCCCATGAGAAATTGTGAGGCAACGTTGGAAAACTTCTCAATGTGATCAATAATAATTTGTCGACGACAAACCTTTTCTTCTGCCCAGCATCTTCCCGAGCACGCCCACTCTCTCTCGCTCTCTCACATCCACCATGTTCAATTCCAGAGACACACGGTGGCATTACAGTGTAATTGAATTGTAGTAAAATATTGCAAAAGGAGTTTAATTTTCCTCCTTCACGGTAAAATACTGGCTCCACTTCAGTGCAATACCCGTGGAAAATTCAGTTGAAACTCCCACACTCGCCCAGTAGGTACTGTATCAGCCCCAGTGAAAATGAACTGCATCAAATTAAGAGAAGAGTGCAGTTAAATTAAATTATTGTGGGGCATTTTAGGGGTGGGAATGAGGTCACAAATTTATATAATTTGCGCGATTTTATCATTCTCCGCAGAATCACATGGATCCTTGCACACTTCTTACATCGGACCATCGCCAGAGGAGCGGCGGGTGGGTGTGAAGGATTCAATTCTCTCCTCGAATTTATCTTCAATTTGTAGCTGAATCCTGTGAAATTCCCTTCCAGCAATCAATAGATTAAGTGAGAGCATCATTTTTCCGTGGAAAAGAAGGCAAAGCGAAGAGTCAGCAAACTCCAAATTAAACTCCACCACGAGTACATGAATGAAAGTGATCTCTTTCCGCTCATCTTACATCTCTTTGCTCTCAAGGAGCAATAAATGCTGGGCATTTCATTTTTATTCCATCTCTTTATGGCAGGTCATTAAAAAGTACACATATATATGTGAAGCTACAAACTTTTAACACATTAAATTTCACAGATAGAAGGTCTTAAAGTCAATAAAGTCACCGAAAATGTAGCACAGTACATCACTCCTAAGCACTCTGGCTCACCTTGGGTGAAGAAATGAAGTTACAGGAGGATTATCATTGTATAGAATCTCTGAGCTATTCACTCTAATTAGACACTAATGGCTGGGAATTTTGTACAAATCCGTTTCATTGAATTGTTTTCCTTTTTTGGTACTCTTTCGCCCTATCACGGAGTCTGATCACAAATCACAACACAGCCATGAGAAGAATGTGAAAATCCCAACCACAAACAATTCTGATTACGGATTTTAACCATTGAGAGAAGAGAAGAGAAAGGAATAAGGAATTGAGGCAAAAAAGAAGTCAAGTGTGAGAAAATTGTGGGAAAAATAGGAAAAGCTTAACAATATATAGTCACTTCATAGAGTTTCTTTCATTACTACTCTCTTGTTTTTTTTTCACCACTCACCGCCAGTTTCTTTCCTTTTTTTCTGCGTCCGTCTAACACTTATTCATCTCAGAAAGTGATTAAGTGCGAGAGCTTTCGAGCAAATCATAGGAAGTGAGAAAAGAATGGAATTTTTGTAAAGGATTTCAATGAAACAATTGAGGATAGAGTTTTACGAGATCTCACAACCATATTCAACAATAAAGGCAAGTAAATGAGCACATTTTCCTTCAACCCCCTCCTCCACACTCCCCCTTGAGCCAGTAATTCCTGGAGAATACACTATGACCACTCATATCTCACCACAGTCAGATGTATAAGACGAATAAATACCAGGGAAAAGTCACAGTCAAAATGCCAGGGCAAAACCACATAAAATGTTGCTTTAGTGGCGGAGAAACAAGAGGTTAAGCTGTTCGCTTACCTCGTCAAATGTAAATCTCAAAAATCTTCATGAGTTTCTTGCTCACAAAATTATATCGTGTAACGAAGAACTAAAATTCGTGGCATTGAAATCGATACGGGGCTTTCAGAGTGTCGTGATCTGAGACTATGTGATAGTCTTACCTTCGACGATCGCTGCACGATCTGCGGAAGTTGATGTTTTATGACTGTCACAGGTACTGGAATCTGTGAGAGCTGCGGCACAAAGGTGTTGTGATTTTTTCCTCCCCCATTCATTACGTCCCCACTCCGCCGGGGAAAGTCTCCGAAGGAACCCATGCACACCCTCGAGATTTTCTCCTTCAGTTTTCGTCAGAGACCATGCCAATGTTGTAAATTAGGCTACACGCAAAAAGCGTTGAGGGAAAAGAGGAAAATCCACCAACCCATCTTCATGACCCACCACCACGTACAAAAGACCTCTATGTATTTCCTGGTTTAAGGGGAGGCCTGGAAGGGCCCAGGGTGGGAGCAAAAAAGCCGCCACCATCTAAATTAGAGCACGGAGACGACCATGACAGGACCGGAGGGAGTCGGAAGAGAATAAAATTTAATATAACGAGAGCCTCAACGAGATATTTTTATGTCAAAAGGATTTTAACGAAATTGTCTAACACACGAAATATAGAGAAAATTGTCCAGAAAAGGATGAGGGTTTTGTGGCATTAAAATGCGAGTGTGAAGGAAAACGACAGTCCCAGGGAAACGTTAACGACCTCTTCTCTGACCATTTTGTATTCAATGGAGTATTCTCCGCACTTTCTTTTCCTATTCCCAAAAGCCCCTTCGTCTTTTCTCACTTTTCGGGTAATGTGCACCCCCAAAATTTCCTTTAGTTTTTAAGCAAGGCACCGAAGGGATCCTAAGCGAGGCGGAATGGACCGGAAAGACTTTATATTATTTATATTTTCCTCCGTCGCCCATTTGCAAAGTGAAGGGATGTGATCAGTGACTACAATCACTTTCCTTGCAGTCCTTATTAAAAATTGTGTGAATGTATTGTGTATGGATAAATGAGTGAAACAGCATTTTGGCTCAAAGTTTTACTTCGTTGTACCTTAGGTTATATACACATGTTATGTAGTGCTTTTACATAGCATAAATCTATGCATATTCATTTGATTTTGAAAAGTTTCCAACATGTGTAAATTTTCAACATCACAAGTGGCTAAAATTCATGCTTCAGCCATGTACATCTCTAGGCTAGATTAGACTGCGACACTTTGGTAATGGAAATGTCACTGCTTGAGTTCAATCAATACAATTCACCCCCATTTTTCGTTCAACTCCTCTGGAATGTTTTCTTCGTGAAATTTGTCCTAATGTCTCTTTAGCATGCTCATGGGCTCATCAATTTCTCTCCTATTGTCTTAGATTACAATTACATTTTGTCCTTTTCAGTTTTTCTGCCCGTCCTCAGCCACTTGGCCAGGAATTTAACCCCATTTGTGTGGCAAATATATCTGATAACAAGTCCCGCGGATATTAAATAGTCTCATTATGGATCAGGAGGGGAGCTCACGAGAAGGTAGCCGGCCTCCGCGATCAATTTCATCTCCTTCGCAGTTCTGAGGAGGAGCAGCTTATCAGCCATTGTAGACACCTCAAAGACAATTTCGCTCACCGTCGGCTGGTGAGCTCTCACAATCTTCCCCTGAATGTTCATCACGGCGAGCTTCTCCCGCATAAAGTCATTCAGATAGTCAATGAGAGATGGAATTTGGGCGGGAAAGGAGCCAATGAGGAGCAATTCGTTGGGGAGATTTGAATTTGCCGTGTTCCCGTCGAGCCGCTTCTGGATAAAGTTCACCATGTCCTTGAGCGTGCCCAACTCTTCCTCCAGAGGATTTATCTTGGCCCCAAGAAGATAGTCCAATTTACCCACAGTGCGATTCACCTGCTGCTGAAGATTGGCAACTGTCTCCGACCAATTCATATCCTGCTGATGGCTCTGACGTGTGCTGTTCCCTCCTGAACTTGCCCCATCGTCTGGCAAATTATAGTAGTGATAGTGATAGTGATGATGAATTGGTGTGCAACAGGAACACTCAGCTTTGCTCTCCAGGGTCGCATTTAATGCTGTTCAGGAGAAGATTGGACGGTTAGAGAACTTCATGCTATATCCTGAAGGATATTAGTAGAGGGAAGAGTTGAAGAGATAACGATTTACCTTCCATGACTAATTGTTTATTTTCCGTATGATAGCCGAGATTATTGAATTGCACATAAATCCAATAATTAATAACATCGTCACCTTTGACGGCGACTGTCCGGTCGGTAAAAGTCCATCGTCCATCAATCGCCTCAGTCACGTCACCGTGAATGATCCCTTGTTGATTAACTTGAATCTCATCATTTACAGCACCATGAAAGCTGAATAATTTAATTCCCGCAACATCTGGAATGGAGACTCGCAATCCATAGGGACGTAACACTTCAAAGCGAGCCTTCGGTATGACAAAGCATCCTCCCGAGGCGATACAAGTTCCACAGACTACAAGCGCCACAGTCAGCCACACACTCAATTGATCAATTACCATCTTTTGCAACTCTTATTCCGCATACTACACCGAATTCAGTACCACAAACTTTTACCCAATGGCGTAATTATCAAATTCTGAATTGCACCGATAAAAGTATAACTCAAACTCTTACGCTATCTTCTTTCACTCCCCTTAAATTGCTGATCGCCGAGCGTGAAGCATCAACTTCAATTCGTCGACGATTTATAACTGAGCGAGCAAGACTTGGGTTTCACACACTGAATGACATCATACAATGCCAGAGTGTTGTGGAAAAAAAGCACTTGGAAATCGTGATTTTAATTTTCCTCTCAAAAGCCATTCTCTCTCTCGCACACACACACTTGCAGACTTTTTCTTCGTCGCGGCAGCTCAAGAGGTTATCGACTGGAGTGACAATTCACTTAACCCTCTTCACCGTGTCACGAAATTAAATGTGATCTCGCTACTCACGGTTTGCTGAGATAAAAAACCGTATCGAGTACAAAATATCTTTTCTATTAACAATTCTATAATATAATAACCATTTTATAAATGGATTGAATTCACAATTTATACTTGAGAATTTCATTGAGATAGAGCAACAATATATGGGTTAATTAAACGTCAAATCGCAGTGAGATGAAACATGTGAAAACATTTTCATTTAAAAGTTTTTGTCTCACTTCGTCTAATGTCACTTTCAAGTGATGCTTTTCCCCCCCTCAGAATCCATCTCTATTCTTGACCCAAATCCCAAATCATTCCTATCGACTCTCCCATTGACAAAACATTGGGATTTTGGATCGATTGACTGGTAGAGAGAATTTGCGTGAAATTGCTCAGTATTTGCCATTCAAAGCGTTTCCACTCCATCTGAAGCATTCACTGTTGACGATGTTGGGGGAATTGTGGATGGCAGAAAAAGAGAATGGACAGAAGTCAACAATAGGGCATGTCGGAAGTTTCAGCGACACAAGAGCAAAACAGAGCGGAAGATTCAGGGACATTGTCTGTGAGGAATAATTTCCACAAGATGTGCCAGGCGCCAAGTACAGCAACTGTATAAGGAGGGGGGGAGGGCGAATGTAGGGCAGAAGTGGAGCAGTCTGGGAAAAAGGTGCGAGATCTCAGGTACGGTCCCAAATTAGCATGGCGCGACAAGTAGAGAGTGAAAATAGAAAGAAATAATAGCATAAATTGGTGTCCACTGTGTGCTAATGAACACGTAAATTTGCTGAGCTTGGCCCCAAGAAATGCTAGTGAAAAAAACCGTCTCTTGTGTACACTTTTTCGCATAAGCACTCGAGTATCACTGGTTATGCAGGCAGAAGAACAAAAACGCGATAGTTTCAGCATCCTCTCTGCTTGTTATTTTTTTTGGTGGTTCAGTGCCACAGATAGCGCGAGTTTGAGACATTTAAATTACATTAATTCACACGATAAAATGCAACAATATTCCAGGCAATTGGCGGTTCTGCGCCACAAGAGCCAAGTGTTGTTAATTCTTGCCAAAGCGCACATCTATGTCGGGATTGGGTCCGTCGGTGGTGGGCTGAGTGGGTGCTGATGATGATATTGGCGACTGGGTGACCTGAACAAGTCCCGCGAGTTCATTCTCCTCCTCCTGGTAGTCAATTATGCGGAGCTTTAGCTTATCCAGGCGCTTTGCGCGCAGCAACACTCTCAGCTTGTCCGAAGCGCTTGTCATTTCGAAGATAATTGCTCCGTGGACGGTGGTTGTGGCGCTCAGGACTCTCAACTTGAGATCACTCAAGTCCAGCTTGTCCTCGAGGATAGTCTTGATGAGTCCATAGGGATTGTCATCCGAGCTGAAGACACCCGTGAGCAGAAGCTTCCGCCCGAATTTCAGCCTATCGAGAATGTTTCCCAGAACCTCGTTGAGTCCTTGGAAGTCCTGCTTCAAGACTTCCGTGGCGTTGAGCGCTTCGTCCAGCTTGAGCCGCGTCTCGCTGAGGCTCTCAGTCAACTTCTGCACGTCCTTGTCGCACTGGCACTCTTGGAAGGAACCCGTGGGGAAAGTTGGAGTCTGCGGGAAGGGTGTAACAGTTGGATAGTTGGTGGGCGGTCGCCATCCATAGTGACCATATCCGCGATGGTGATGAAAGTGATGCTGAAAGTGGCTGGTATTTTCCTCCTTGTTGCGTCTCCGCCCGAATTTCTGGCTCTCCGTGCGAACTTCCTCTTCTGACGAGTCACTGTTGTAGATTTCACATTTATTGCTGAACGCTGTGAAGAAATTGAGAAGGAAAATTTGGCTATCAGTGTGGTTTTATTTTGCATGGCGCGCAATCTTTAGCGGAAGCTGCCGAAATGTTCAAAGATTAAAATATGTAACGGAATATTTTGTAAAGTTTCTCCACTCACCATCAATTGTGTACTCCATCACGTCTGATCGATAGCCCAAGCCGCGATGTATGACATAAATCCAGTAATTGAGGGTGTCGCCTATCTTGAAAGTCTCCGTTTGTGTCTCAAAAATCCACCTTCCGGATGCCTTGTGGATAACATCTCGAGACATCTGGCCAGCTTCTGTTTCGCCAATTGGGTCATTTATATTGCCATGGAAGGCAAACAACTGTATTCCCGGGCTGTCCGGAATGGAGACACGCAGGGCATGTGGACACACCTCCACGACGGGACTCTGGAGGCGAAAGGACGTCACGGCGGTGGCAAACAGGATGAAAAACACCACTCTTGACCACATTATTTCCTCTAGATTTTTACACGCTCGTCTCACACCGTTCTTCTCGCTTGAGTGTCTCGCCAAGAACTGAACAAATATTTGCCTTTATCACCCACAAATATATATAAACATGTGTCACAATAAAAATTCCAATAAGAGTTACCAAAAATGAGTTTCACAGCTTTTTTTGTCCAAATCCGAAGAGTCACAATTGCAGAGACCTTCAGTATTTTTGTTGGCTCTTTTGCATTCCACGGGAGATTCGGTTATTCACTCGTGTTGAAAAAGCCGCAATAATCATGCTCTTTGGATATCGTGGTCGAATTTGGCACCAATGGGAAGGCAATTTAATGAGGTTATCACAAGTTTATCACGCATAAGAGATTCGGCAGTGGTATTCTCAAGAGGTTATGGATTACCGCACAAATTAAAGTAAAATACACACTCCTAACCCACTCAATCCTTTAAGAAGCTATTCCAAGAGAGAAGTTGAGGGAATATCCTCAATATCTTCTGGGAATTCCCTTCCAATTAGGCGTCTTACTATCGCCTCCAAATGTTGTTATCTCACTTAGAGCTCACCAAGTTAATGCGATACTAATGAGTGGCAAACACTGAATGTGACTGACGCCAAATGATCACGCCGATCTTGGACGCTTGTTGACTCGCCTGAGAGATCACCAACACTGTTAAAACACCCAAACGATAAAAGCACCCATGAAATATTTTCTGGGGGGATTCCACAGAAAAAAAGAAGTCTCTTCAAATGGTCTCTTTCTCCCGCTAATTTCATCTGATTCATCCATAAAAACTCTTGCAAATCCGGCACTGGAAGGCAAAAAAAAAAATATTTACGTGGAACGTAGGTCAATTATTTCCGTCTTAAGTCTCGTACTTCACGGTGATTTTTTCCACATATGCTAATATTTGCGTGGAAATCAACAGGGGAATTCTGCATTAATAAATCTATTCAGAGACGTCTCGATCCCGCCTCCATTCACTCGAACAGGTGCTCAGTGAATTCTATAGAAGTGATTTTACTTTATAAATTACGTGTATATTTTTCCTATTGTCAGTCAATGATAAATAGTGCAACAATAGGAAAAATAGCTCAACTGAAGCTGTAGACAAAGTTTGTTGGCAATTTCTTGTGGGTGTCGTGAAAAGTTTTGTGAATTCTTCAAAACAGGAAATATGAAGGAAAATTGTACGATAATTTTATCTAAGTTGAAAGGTAGCATGAGTTAAATGAAAAATTGGTGGAAAATAAAATTGTCGAAATGATATCGCAGGAGTGACTTTAATATTTTCCACACTATAATTTGACGCGTTTCTTTGCAAAATGTTTGCTACTGTTTCCCAATTTGCATGCAACTGACGAATTAATTCATTATGAAAATAGCAATCTACATAAATACATATATTATATGTCTGAAGCATCTCGGGAGAGATGTATTAAAGCACGTAAATTTGGCAATATATTTAGCTGGGGACTTGTGACTAAAATATAAATAAATAGTATAACATTTAATTATTTTAATTAAATCATGCTCCATTTGCTGTAGAATAGCAGGACATCAATCTTATTTGAAAAGCATTTTGAAAGGGTTCCCTCTTGCTAAGGTGGAAAATACATTAAGAAATTGCTTTCTTGTCCATCAGATTGCCTTGCTCATTGCTCTTGAGAATCGCGTGAACGATTAGGGAGTTCTAGGTCAGAGATCCAACCAATAAATCACCAGCAATTTCATACTGAGAAATTGCTATGGTGTTACCAATTCATTCGATCAGCAGATTGTCTTTCATCAGCGTGAGACGTGAGAGAAATTAATTTTTATACATGCCTCTAATTGCAAAATTGTTTTCTCTCCACATCCACATAACAAAATGAATTCAATTTTGACATGGAATATCTGGCAAAACTATACAGAGTGCTATTAAAATTAATTATGTGTTTAATAGTGCTTTATAGGTACGCATTGGGAAATGTTGAGCAAGAGAGAGAGACAGTCATTAAAATTCATTGATCGTTTTCACCTTAATCCCAATATAGATTGATAGTCTTTTTTCGCATCGATTTCAATTTCATCTCGGTGAAGGAGAAAAAAAATGCGCACACATAAAAATTTTAATAACATCTCCGTGACATTTTTTCCACAATCTTCCGCTCCCCTCTTTCTCACTGTTGCTCATCGTTGCTGATCAATCAAATGTAGAGTGAGAGAGAATGGAGAGGAATATGCATAAAATGAATATATTTCCTGAATATGCATTTTTTATCCGTTCGATGGTGGTATAAAAAAGGACCGAGAGTGGAGCCATCAAGTTTGGGAATCAAATGAATTGCTGGTGAATGGAAAAACGTGATTTTTTCCACGTTCACAATTTTCGGGGATGCACACCATGAAAGCACCCCAGAGAGATAGAGAGATGCTTTTTTCCACGGCTGTGTGGGGATTTCAAACGGGCACCAAAAATTTATTAATAACATCCCCCGACACTCTGAAGATTTATTCACAATCACGGCCATGGGAGCGAAGTGGGAGAACTGCCGATGCGACAGGCTCTCGAGAGGGATGTTTTGGAGAAGGGATCAACGCTGGAAGGCTCAAACATCATTTTCGAATTGACTTGATGCGTGTGTGCTCGTGATTGCTGAGCGGCAGGCGGAAAGGGCGATTGGGGGTGGCAAAGGGTGGATTTCATGCCTTAAATTTCATGTTTGGCCATTAACTGGACCCCAGCCGAAGGGATAATTTTGGCTTATCGCAACAAACTAGCACATGAAGAGGGTAACACTATACTGCGTAGACGAAAACTTTGTGCTAAATGGCATAATTTTAAAATTAATTTACAACGACTCTTCCCACTTGTTCCGTTGAAATTAGAATAAAATTAATTAGACTCCCTTGTAGGGGAAATATTGAGAGGGGAAAATAGATTTTTCTAATTCACGGAAGACATCATCAGTGTATATTTGGAGCTTTTCATGCACACTTGCATGTCATGTTTCACTCGAAATCCATCGTGTATTTGTACACCAATAGATTTTAATTGCGCCCCCGATTTGCTCTCTAATTTGGCACAATTAGCTGAAAAGTCACAAATTGGTAAAATTCTGTCTATTTCGGGTTTTTGTGGTAGGCTCCAATGATTAATCAGCAAATGCAATCATTAGCAATTTGTTTATGTTGAAAATTCATGGTGTGAGATATAGAATTAGATTTGCAACCAACATTGACTGAATTGAAAAACTGTATTTTCTTGTGGTTTAGGATATTTAGGATTATCGGATTTAACAATTTGTGACTGTGATGGAAATTGCAGAGTATGCCAGTGATAGAGTTAGTGAATGTTGCATGGAGTTTCTCTTAATTTATTCGTCAATTTGAGCTCAGACGGGTGGAAGTGGTGGCAAGGAGTGCAGAATAAAGTTAGGGACTTTTAGTGTCATCACTGTTATTTCTATAGACACGCTCCACGGAGACAGTCACATTGTATATTGATGGTTGGTATATCCTGTGCCCGAAATAAACTTTGCAATCCCCTCTCGAAAGTTTTTGTTTGATTAAAGAAGTCGTGGGAGATTGAATATGTGGATTTTCTCCACTTGAGATAATATTATCCATATATAGGTACTTGCCTTTGTCAGCTGCATCTCTGACAGTGTTAGTTGGGCTGTGGTAGTTGGCACTTTCTTACCCATTCCTTTCCGTGTGCTTTGAATAATAACGCCAAATTCACTTAGCACGTCCCTTCCGTGCTCATAGCCAGAAAGTGGAATCCGGAAGAGAGGGAGTCAATTGCGTGTGAAATGCGAAATAAAATTAACACAATTAGAGGGTGGGTTGGAGGGATGAATCTTGTGTGGACCTTTTCGCAGGGAATTCGCCTCAGTCGTGATGGTCATGTGTCTTCCATTTGACCCGCCCTTCGTGACGATCTTTCACGTTTTTCACCCATATTCTGTGTACAGAGGCAAACATCACGTAATACTGCCGGAGAGTGTCCTCCGCTCTTTAGATTTCATCCCGAGTATAATTTTATTTACCTTGTAGGAAATGTCTCAAACATCCACCAGTAGATTCTCCTCCACTCGTCCCCATGCTAAAATGCAAAGTTCCCTCATGCCAAAGAGTCCGGAAAATTCATGCTTGTTGCCTTCTGCAGGAGTGCCAGTGAACAATGTTTAAATTTTAGTACGGGAGAGGATATTTAATCAAATGTAAATCAAGAAGGGAAAATTTGCATCTAAACCGTGTGAATGAAGGGCGTGTATGTGTGTGTGCGGCAATGAAATTAAAACATGCACAGAGATGGCGTGACAGTGATTAGCTTTTTTGGGCTTTTCCTGCGCAAAAATTCACACTGTCACGCGAAATGGACAAGCACGTCAGTCAGCGTGGCAATTGTGACTGTTAAAATACTTGACTGGTCGCGCAGCACAAAGAATAGAATGGACAGATCAAAAGTTTCCACTCTCATCTCTGTGTTGGTTTCACGGTTGGAGCATTTGGAGTATCATAAATTTAAACCGCAGAAAATATGCTATAATTGGTGCATATTTTTACCTAAAATAATACAGTGTTTTATGTGTTTGCGCTTTTGTTTTTCTTGGAAGATAACTGAGAGAGTTCTTCCTCAATATACTGTCGCGCAGCGCTATATTGTGTTACCTTGTTTGCATATTCTCCGGTTAATACTCTCTTTCTCTGTTGTGATGAAAATGCAAGTGTGGGTGGAAATTTTAAGCTTTCCATTTAGGTAATTGCAAAAATGTTGAAGGCCAGATACAACACGGCGAGACGAAGGTGAAGTCAGGTGAGGTGGGTGGATGAAAGCACTTGAATAATGCCCTCCATTGTGTATTAGTTCATATTTTATTTTATCCACCCCTAAACCTTCTTCCGTGCCACATTTTTTTAGCCTCACCATGTTTGTCTCTTGCCATCCATCTCTTTGTCCTTGCGCCTTCCGCACACCAAAAATTCCTCCGTCATATTTTCCTATTGTGAACAATTTTATTCATGTTTATTTTAATTATTTAAAAGCTTTTCATCACAATGCCAGGGTGGAATTTTCGCCTTACCCCCGCCGACGCCACATTTTGCCGCTGGATCAAGCACAATAAATTGTCAATTTTCATTTGGGTGGGTTGATGAGGTGTGGGTGGTGCTCTTAGGCGCGGAAGGGGAGCGCCTCGGAACGGGTGGGGGGGAAGAAGACATTGAAGTCTCTTACAGAGAGGCATTTCCTCCATTCAAAATCATCTTTATCGTAAAATTCAAATGAAGATAAAAGGAGCGAGCGGGAAAATTTCTGCAAAAGACGATGGGCTCTCTTCTGGCGAAAGGGGCGCGCGTTCCGCGAGAAAAGTAGGGGTGTGAGGGTGATTCAGAGGAGCATAAATTTGCCATATCATCAAAAGGCAAGCCCCGCGTCTTCACTTTGATTTCAATGGAAAAGAAGAATATTAATATACCAGGTACTGATTATCACAAGCATGATTTTTCCTTATTCATGAATTTTGGCATTACACAACAGACGGGTTGAATGTGATGGAGTGAGTGAGAGAGTGAGTGAGAGGGAGAGCGAGAGGAGAGACTGAAGAAAAGTGAATGAATGAGGTTTTTCCTGAAAAGGCAGGATCGGAAGAAAAACACAAACATGGGGAAAGTTGTCCGATTAAAATTTTGCAATAAAGACGAAAATGTTCCGAGGGTCTCTTCACGATGGACCAGAATGGTGTTTTTGGGGTGGTTGAATTCATGAGGGTTGAGTGGGAAATTTTGGGGTGAAATTTTCATCACTCATCGCAGGCGTGGGTGTGAGATTTGTGCAAAAA